AAATGGCAACCGTGGGTCCGACCATTGGTATACAGGCAAGAGCGTAACGCATGATTCAATTGAACCATGGTGAAATGCTGTAAAACCAAACACTTAGCAGAAACTCGTTCATTAGTGTTTGGCGATCAGTAGCTCGTTTTTGTAACTCTTCTCTACCGATTATTTCTCTACTGGTAGAGAATATACGTCATTCTCTACTACTCATTAGCAGTAGAGAACAGGGTGGCGAACTCATATCTCAATTTGCCTTGGTAGAGAACTCTTACAGAAACGAGCTACAGGAGTATGCAGACCTACTACGTGGCGTGCGCGTTGTAGTGATAGAACTTTTTAAAAAAGTATCGATACTAGTACTCATATAGAATACTCTAAAAATATCGATTCCAGTACTCATATTTGCAAAAAAGGATCGATAATACTCGTACTTCCAAGTGTTCTCAAAACAAACGCAAAAAGGAAACAAAAATCAGATTGCTTTGCTTTTTGACCTCTTCGTATTTGTAAATTGAATAAACACTACTTTTCTGATCTAAGGGAGTTTATGAAATGAACTTCCAATAAGTTTAGTTTTACATGCGTAAATTAAATGTTAAGAACAAAAAGCTTATTTCAAGTTCTTAAAGACAAATTTTATAATTGTTTGGCGCTTATATTAATAAATAACTTTACTTTAAAAATTAAATGCAAATTTAGAAAACGAGAAAGAAATGTGGTGAAGCCCATTCTCTAACGGAAAGATAACCACTAGACACAAATAAAGGCGCGCTAGTGCTTCGACGGCGAAAAAAGGCGCGTAAAAAAATTTTACGAAAAAATACGCTTAGGAAAGACGCGTAATACGATGTTCTTACCGACAACGAAAACACTTTCAAAACGAGTTTTGGGATTTTGGGCTGAAGGCTGTTCGCACCGGCTGTTAGTGTTTACGTTGACATTTCTTATATCTTTTGATTACAGTTTTGCTACACAAAAACCAAACCAAAATACTTTTCCTTCAATTTCTTTTCATTTACAACCTCTTATTTTCATCCTTATTTTACTTAGGCCAACCAATTAACAATAAATCCGAAATGGCGCATTAAAGATGATAAAGTATGACTTCCACTTCGATAAATAATCGAAAAAAAACTAGTGAAGACACCGATTGGAATTAGAGGAACGTGAGTTTTCAAGTAGTTTTCAGCGAAAACTGGTTTTCGTTTGACAGATTTTACATGGACGAAAACACAAGTTTTAGGTAGGGATTCAAACGATGCATCGATATTTTTAAAACATCGATAATATCAGTTCAAAATTTGATGTTTGCCATCGGTGTTTACAATTTCCCAAAATCGCTAAATTGACGATACATCGATGCTAGTTTTAGCGATGTTTTAACATCGGTTTATGCTCCTAAAATTTTTTGACCGGCCATGCATTTTATTACTTATTCTTTTAAGGAACATTCAGAAATTCCGAGTTTAAATAATCTTATCTTCCGATATTAAAAATGCTTACTTAGTCATTAAAAAAGGACCAGGATCCCGTTGAAATTTCAAATAAATCGGGCCTTGGAACTTTAAGCTGGATTTACATGAGGCTATTTTCTAGGCGATTCAACATTGCTCCGGAAAAGTCGCTCGTGTGACTCATGGTGCCTCAAAGTAGACAGCAAGTCAAGTTTTGCAGGCGATTATCGCCTGTCAAAAAATCTCCTCATGTAAAGACAGCTTTAGGCTCAGCGAACTAACGACGGCATTAATTTTTGTTCTGTTTATAGGGAGGGTAAAGGAATGGTAAATAAATAAAGGGAAATACATCCATATGTAAGTATTTTTCTAATTGAATTTGGTTGAGTTGGACATGAAAAGTATTAAATTTTACTTTTAATGTGCCTACAACCTAACAAATTTTTAAACATCGGAAACCATCGATATATCGATGTTTTTCTGGCGATGTATTTTAGCATCGATATTAATTTACCGATGTATCGACGTTACTCCCCAAAATTTGTATCCCTAGTTTTAGGTCGAAAACCAGTTTTAGCAACGAAAACATGTTTCCGATGTCGGTCACAACATGGTATAACCTTGACGTCAAAGAAAGACGCGTAATCATAGATTTACACTTGGACTGTCACTTTAGCATCATTCCCCAAATATCTTTAGGGAATTCACATACTGTTACACCGACAAACATAGTTGAGCGGGAAAATAAGTTTACGCGTCCTTCTTCGCCGTCAAATATTTTAACCCGTCTTTCTTCGCCGTCAACTATGTTAAGAGTCTTTCTTCGCTGAAGTTTTTTTATGCATCTTTTTTCGCGGTCAACTTTGAGCTCCCGTCTTTATTCGTGTCTAGTGACGATAAGCTCTCTTTCATACAAATTTTCTTCAAGAATGGGCTGGATTTCGATTTCACAACGAAGGTAGAATACATGGGTTAACGACGGCTGCCTTATGCTGGGGAGTGGGCAAGTTGTCGAATCGGAACACCATCCTCTTCCACCATTCATTATCGAAGGTGAGGCAAGAGATTCGTTTCCAATTATTTAAAAGATTTTAACCGAACCCTATGTTGAAATGACCGCTACGTTTTCTTCTAGGTTGTGTAAAAATTTCATAACTGTGTCAATTACCAGTAGCTCACTCGCACAAAATATGTATTAAGCGCTTAGATAAGCACTAAAACTGATAAATATGCTTGCAAATATGCTCGCAAAACAAAAAAACTTAAGTTGAAAAACGTATTGGACGTACAAGTGTTGCTTGATATTCTCAAATAATGAAGATCTGCGTTGGTTGATTCCATTTTTTTAAATATTCTTTATTCAGCATTTGAGATAAATTATGTAAATCTCTTCAATAATACCAAAGATTTCTTGTAGAGACGAGCCATTGGTTTAAAAATTTTTGTATCCAAGCGGAAATGCAATTGAAGTTACGGGTTAATAAAAACTAAAAAGGGACAAATCTCGAACCAGACAGAACGAAAAATGACACTGAAGATG